GGGGAGCAGGATGTTTCGACATCAGAATAGGGATAAGCTGACCATCACAAATGCTCCAAGCATGGTCAACTGGTGAAGGAATGTTCATGATTGGTTGCAGAGACTGTTTCCAAACATGGACTTGGTAGTTTACTCGTTCAGTGTGATGTTTTAGACTGTTGGATGTTGGTGGGAGGTTTTCATTCAATATCTTGTGTCATCTACAGACATCACTGGATTATTTGGTACATGCGTAGAACTCACAATCTGGCCACAAGATGTAATGAGTGTTTCTTGAACATCCAACTTGTCATCCATTTGTTGTGTGAGTTTCTCATCCCTGGGCTTTACAGACTTTTTTGGGAATCAATGTAGAAAAGGTTTTCAGGTTCAGTCGATGTAGAGGTGACCACAAGTTTGTCCTGGAAGAGTTCAATCGACTACTTATGAAGTTATCCCTTTGCTCTGCCCCAATCTGTTTAACATGCAAGAGGCTGTGAATCATTATCCTTTGGGACAACAACTCCACTTTCAATGTTCACAAGATGCAGACATCATTCTTTTCGAAATTGAATGGATTTGTCATCAACCTTGATGTGAACATGGACATTTCTAGTGTTCATTTTACAATGGCTCATTCAGATGGAACATGAAGAAAGAACATCAGAAGCGGTTTGTTAAATGAACTTCTAAAGGAAGTTTTTGTTCCTTCGCTGCTTATACTAGCAGAAGAGAGAATGTTGCCAGTTCATAAAGTTGATGGAATGGCAAAATTGCAAATGTTCAGAAAGGGAACTGCTTCCACATTTGGAGAATTGGCTGATATGCATTGGGACAACTTCACTTCAATTCTGAATCGAACAGACTACATTAAAGTTGATGTTGTCGGACAGGTATGCCAGACGAGAGTCAATCAAAGCAGGGGAGCAAATCAAAAGAGGATCGACAACGGAGCTAGAAGTCAAGATTGTTGGCAAAAACAAACCACTGCCAAGACAATGGGACAAACACATCAGCAGTCCTGTCAACAAGTCTAGTCTTGTAGCATTTATGAACGAACGAAGGTGTTTTGTTGATCCAGACATGCTACCTGTTGGTAAAGCCTGAGTCACACCAAGGTAGTTCTTAGGATGTCCTGACTCGTCCAAACAATAATTGTAAAGTGAGCTCGAACGGGATAGAACGTGTAATTTTTGTATAAATTACAATGCTAGTTTGACCATAAACAGTTCTCAGTACGTCTGTCTCCTCTTTACCCCATCCCCAGACAGTTGGTGTTACGTTTAGAGTGGTGAAAATTGCCCATTCACCTCGTGTGGACAATGTTTTCAAGCAGTCCAGTCCCGTCCTTAGTCACTTTATATCCATTCTGAACAAGACCTATCTCGTTCTTCATACGCACAACCCCGTTCTAACTCATTCTTAACTAAACAAACTCATTTTCAGGCACTTCTTCCCGTTCTCACTACTTTCTCACTCCGTTTCTAGTGCATGCAATCGTAATATCAATCACTTCCTGGTTCGATTTGTATAAATACCCTGCCCATTCTTATTCCGTTCTCAGTTTCAAGGTGGAAACATTGACATCACCATGCCTCCAAGGAAGAAGAAGGGTGGACATCTAATTTTTAAGGGGTCAATGCGTTCAAGAAGTTCATCAAACATGGGTGGGGTGATTCTCAAGAAATTGGAGGACCCTTGATCATCAAGGCGGATCTCCTCCATCAGTTGATGATAATGTCCCACAGCTATTCACCTCTCAGGTTTAAGCCAGTTCCTCACCCAACAGGTTCTTATTTTTTCCTTTTTTCTTGATCTACCAACTCATTGTACTCTTGCTCTGATTCCGATAAAAATTGCAGGAAACCAGCATTCAATATTTTGACAGCTGTAAACTTGTTCATAGAAACTCCATCCCAAATGACGACCATGTTAAAAACGCATGTATATAGACCCTACCTTGTCATATCGTAATGCACACAGAGTTGACAAAGTAAGAACTGCATGAGAACTACATAAACATACTAACAACGAGTAGAACGTAATGAGAACCCATTGCAAACTGTTAAAACCATGTACTACAAGCTTCTTCAGAACAATTCATTTTGTTTTGAACATAATTGATTGGAATAGCGACTAACTAGAGTTCAGTAGAGTTCGGCAAACGGGATGGACCAGTTGGAAACTGTGTACAAACGTATTGCAATTGATTCCGGACTGCAGTAAGATTGAAGCGCCGCGATTCCGTTCGTAGTATGGCAATTCCGTTCTTAGTATGGCAATCTCATTTTAAGTACGTTATTACTCCGTCCCATTTTAGAACGTGTAGAACATTCGACATGGGGAATTAACTTACAGAAGTCCTCTGAAAATCACCAACAAACATTGACACAATTGGATGACAATCTAGATGTTCAAGAAACACTCATTACATTTTGTGGCCAGTTTGTGAGTACCATGTATGTACCAAATAATCCAGTGATGTCTGTAGATGACACAAGATATTGAATGAAAACCTCCCACCAACATAGAACAGTCTAAAACATCACATTGAACGAGTAAATTACCAAGTCCATGTTTGGAAACAGTCTCTGCAACCAATCATGAACATTTCTTCACCAGTTGACCATGCTTGGAGCATTTGTGATGGTCAGCTTATCCCTATTCTGATGTCGAAACATCCTGCTCCCCGTGGATTGGTTAAACTGACATCGTGTAAATGCAAAAAGTCAGCATGCCAGCAGAAAGAATGATATAGTGTGTACAGAGGCATGTCTATTTGTATGGCAGATGATTGTTGCCCGAACACCTTTGACTTGTTGCCAGTAGATGACTCCGATTCTGACATGAGTGAGTGAGTGAGTTAAGTTTTACGCACTCGCTAATATTCCAGCTATATGTAGGCAGTCTGTAAATAATCGAGTCTGAACCAGACAATCCAGGATCAACAGCATGAACATCAATCTGCGTAATTGGGATACGATGACATGTGTCAACACAGTCAACGAGCCTCACAACCAGATCCCATTTTTGTGGAAGTCGCGGTAGCTGAGTGGGTTAGGCGGCTGACTTTGTGTGCTGGCGATTGGGTGCCTGACTCTGAGGGTGTGAGTTCGTATCCCGGATGGGTCTCAACTCAAAAAGTACTAGAATTTGTACTTTACTAAGAAAGTGTAATCCCAAATATATCACATGTTACAGATCCCATTAGTCGCCTCTTACGATAAGCATGGGTTATTGAAGGTCAATTGTAACCCCGGATCTTTACAGGTCCGATTCTGGCATGAAGTAACTTATGAAATGAAAGAAAGTGAAAAGGAGAGTTAATTGCAAGCTTATGGATGTATCAAATGTGATTAAGAGTTATCTGATAGAACAATTTGAATACCTACAACCAAATCTTAGACGTAGTTATCGGCCATGAAGCATAGTTTTCAAACACTTCTGGATAATGTTATTTCATCAAATATTTTAGGAGTGTGAAGCTTTGATTGACAATATCATTGAAATTTAGCTCTATTCCTATAATGTATTAATCATTAGACACCAAATGAGTTGTTTTGATTTCATATCAGTACAAATTTAGTCCTCCACTAAGTATATGAAGTTAAACTAAAATGGCGGCCATTTTGGCGGCCATTTTGAATTCTGGGTAATATGTAAACTTTCCTAATAACATGACGTCACTCTAGAAGTAAAGAGAAAACAAAAACAACTTGTTTTAGTAACAAAAATAATGTTAACTGCCATTCAATAAATCACCATCACACATTTCCATAAAAAGTCGGAGAATCGCTAAAATACCCCTGTCTCAAAGAATAAGCTGTAAAAATTAAATTACCACGATATGACCATACAAAATGACTTGTTTTGTGCCCAAGCCATCACTCTAGGAGAAACAAGTGTAAAAAAACATCAAAAGTATCAACTTTGGATGTAAATGGAAACATTCGGTGTTCAATTTTATGTAAATTTAAGTGCTGAGAAGGCAAAACACGACAAAACAAAATGGCGGCCAAAATGGCGGCTATTTTGATTTTTTTCAAAACAAAATTATGTCAAATAATTTCTACATCCTTTAGCAGTACACAGAAGTCAAAATGTAAGTGATCAGTTTGATAGTAGTAAAACTATTAATAATAATCTTTGAGGTGTTGTCGGGCAGCAAACCAAATGTGACGAAAATGCTCGCAGACCCCCACCACATATAATGGCCTGTAAAAAATAACTGATACCACAATCTGAGAGTATTACAGGCCTTTTCATGAGCCCAAGACATCATACTAACTGAAAATAGTGTCAAACAAAATCAGTACTAGGGAGGCTACGATTTGAAATTTTTCAGCTGCCTCCTCCTGGACTAATAAAACACACACACAAATATATTGTGTGAGCTTTATGAAATATATATACAAATATGTTATATTGTGTGACATATGATGCATGTTATATTGACTGAATAAATATATTGTCTACTATATATATCACACTCTGTTTTAATTGGTTTGTTAATCTCGAGAACACTGGGAGTGAAGTCACTCATGTAGAACATCACCTCCCTTTTCCCGGACTGTCGACAAGTAATTTGGACGGATTATTTCTTGTTGTCGACAGTCCGAACCCTAGCAATTAGCCCATGCAGAACGATAACTTACCATCACCCACCAGTTATCTCCCCTTGCGGATATTTCCAAAATTGGAAATTTTTGGAAACATCATCTTTCCAAAATTGGAAATGTCTTGGAAACATCATCTTTCCAAAATTGGAAATGTCTTGGAAACATCATCTTTCCAAGACATTTCCAAGCTTGTAAATGTGGATTTTTTTTCCAGTGCTAGTTTGCTTACACAACACTCGTTGGAGAACGCTCAACTGGTTGCACAACATCTGTTTCAAAATTATCTCATAAAGATATTCAGAACACGTGTTTAATAAATATCAATATATTTTAGTGAATATATTAATTCAGATAATACAAATAGATTACCATTCTGTATTCAGCAGTGTTGCAATACACGGCTTTTCGTAAAGCGCACCAGTGATATTTTTTTATTACCGATATCGATACACATTCTCAACCTAAGTCAGTAAAATGTCCATAGTGTTTAGTGTATTTGCCTTTTAAAAAATTAGTTGATTTATAACTGGATCGATATTATAAAAGTAATTCCCCGTATAGTATATAGCTTGATGTCCGAGAAATTTCGATTTCATAACCCTTCACAGTCCTGCAACTGCAATCATGTTGTTAGGATATCCAATTATGTAGCTTCGTCGTGGGCGAAGCCTTTGCATCGGGCCTCCCATCTCCGCAGGAGCGGTTCCGTTAAGATGATGCCTGCAGCCAGCAACAAGGACGCTCCCAGGAAATGGAAAGTGACGCTGTAGTTCCCTGTTAGGTCTCTGAATGTTCCTGAAAGTAGAGCTTGACTTTTATAAATGGAATCGAAAGTCACCTTGGAGATGGTCGTAGTGTTTTCATATCCCAAATCGAATTGACGTCTTAGGAACAATTATAGCATATTGACTACATATCAAAATCATAATACAGTCAAACAGATTCACTTCAAGATATCCTTCCTGTCAAAGGAATTAACGTCATATGAACAAATAACATATTGGCTACACACACTCAAATTTTAATCTATATATCCCTGAAGTATAAATATGCAGCTCCTCCACTTCATGTATCACTCTTGCTTGACAACGGCACAAGAATCTGTATCGAAACGTCGTACTCACGAAATAAAGAAGTTGTTATCCATAAAAACTTGTTCCATATTGTACGTCTCAACTTCTAAAATGCCACTCAAACAAGTTATATATCCCTGTGAAATAAATAGAATTTCCCCCAAAAGGTATAGTCCGTTTGGCTCAAAATCGGACCGATGAATTGCAATCTAACTCGCAAACTGATAAACATGTGACATTCAATGAAACAATGATCATAATCAAAACGTCAGACCAACTCTGTGATTTGTTTGCAGAAGTTATGTCCTAAAATAATAAAAGTTGTTTAACAAACTATTATTAAAATTTTGACACAGTTCACTATTTGTTACGAGCGAAAAGGATGGAGACAGCACAACACAGGTTAATGAATCAATAACTTTGTCGGCACTTGTGCACGTGCTTCTCTAGCACCTGGCTGTCCCTTTCTCTGCACTCCTCCTTCGTAACAAATAGTGAACTGTGCCAATATTTTAATGCTAGTTTGTTAAAAGAACTTTTGTTATTTTTAGGACATAAAGTCTGCAAAAACCTCACAGAGTTGGTCTGAAGTTTTGATTATGATCAGTGTTTCATTGAGTATGTTATGTTTATTAGCTTTCGAGTTAGATTGCAATTCATCGGTCCGCTTTTGAGCCAAACGGACTATAGTATGTATGAAATAGTTTTTCGTTACCTAAGACGGGATAAACTAAAGCTCCAGCAATTCCTTGGGACACCTGCACGAATCCAAACGCTTTGGGGAATTTGTCGAGTCCCATCAAATCAATTATAATGACGGGTAGAAGAGAGAAAAAGAATCCCGCAAAACTCCCATAGACAATTATAAAACCCAGCATGCCACGAAAGTTCGAGCAAAAGCTTGTGAATTGAAATGTGACGCCTATGATGAGGAATGCACCGGCCAACATCTTGGGTCGTGTCATAAGTCCAAACTGGGCAATGAGTCCTGGGAGAAGTCGACTGAATAGATCCAGAGCCGCTGCCACAGTGAACAGCTTGGCTGTCTCCATGTCGGTCAGTCCTTTTTCCTTAGCCAGAGGAGGAATGAACGCACCTGACAGCTCGTTACCAATTAGACCGAAGAAGGAAAAGCCAAGAATACCGATGAAAATTGGATTTTTAAACAAGGACAGGTCCATGGTGAACATACAGCCTCTGACAACACCGCAAAATGAAGATGATCTTGGCTGCATTTTAGCCTCTGCCGACGTTTCTGTAAACGATGTTTGCTCTGTCTGTGATCCGTCCAGTTCGTTGTCAATAGTAACATTAGTGTAAGGAGTTGGCGCTTCTGAATCACCAATGTCATCAGAGGGCTGTGCTGAAGATAATAATCCCGCTTCCTGATGTTGATACGGTCTGAACAGTGCTGCACATACGATGGTTTGCATCATGATGCCACCGAGGAGCATCAGCGCCCCCTGGAATCCATACTCGTCAAATAGATACGTGATGAGTGTCGGTAATGCCATGAGACCTATACTGATCCCTGAGTTAGCTATTGCTATGGCCAGAGGACGTTTCTTGTCGAAGTATTGCCCAAGAAGGTAGATCCCTGGTCCGTACACAAATGCATTTCCTAAACCTGCAATAAATTAAAATAAAATAAACTCTTATGGTTATCTTGAAAATAATTTCATAGCTGTCTCGAGCAATATGACATTCGTCCGGCCTAAAGAATACGTATATCAAATCACCAGCAGTCGCGTAGCAAGTCAATTGTTTCGGGTAAGCCCGATAGGTTGCAAAGCTTTTTATGTACATATTATTGAGGACTTGCCCAACTGTTGTAGCAACAATCATGTGCAAGCCCGGGCTTCTTTTATAATGGTAGCTACGCCCTTGATCACCAGACACATGTGTTAGATAGAAACTTTAGGAAAAACATATCGTGGCGCGCACCTGTGAGCAGACTTTGAGTGAAGATGATGAAGGCCACATTCTTGGCAAACATGCTGAGTAATATGCCTGCAGAGGTCAAGAGCGACCCGAGAAGGGATAACTTCCGTATTGATATCCGTGTGATGAGGATATTGAGGGCTAACATGGCTGCAATATATGAATCACAAATGAGTTATCTGAAGCCCATAGCAATGACAACAGAAGTCACAAAAACATTTTCACCTTTTTTAATACTACCTACAAATGTAGAGACAATTCGACCAGTCCGACCACACTGTAAGAATGTAATAGTAGGAATAACATTTACACATTGAATTACAGATTATAGAGCTTTTTGCGGTTAAGTCACATTGACGATGTACTATCCCCATAGATAACTTCACATTGTCACAGAGTGACGTCTTGGCACTCTGTTTTGACGATGTACTATCCCCATAGATAACTTCGCATTGTCACAGAGTGACGTCTTGGCACTCTGTTTTGACGATCTATCCCATAGATAACTTCACATTGTCACAGAGTGACGTCTTGGGACTCTGTTTTGACGATCTGTCCCATAGATAACTTCACATTGTTACAGAGTGACGTCTTGGCACTCTGTTTTGACGATGTATCCCATAGATAACTTCACAATGTCACAGAGTGACGTCTTGGGACTCTGTTTTGACGATCTATCCCATAGATAACTTCACATTGTCACAGAGTGACGTCTTGGCACTCTGTTTTGACGATGTACTATCCCCATAGATAACGTCACATTATGTCACAACGATACTCACTCACTCTGACATAATACGAGCTGTTCATTGTAAGTTTCATTTTCTTCAAATACATTTTTCCCAGCACTAACATCTAGTATTACAGACACTTATTTCAAATTCGTGTCATTTATGTAGCTATATCTACACCCGTCGTTGCCCAGTTCTGTAGCCACTGTCTGTCAAATGAAACTATCATACTTGCTGAAACACAGATTACCTGAAAGGCTGAAAGCTGCAGCCTTGATCCCAAGGATCACTGATGTCTCTGACGTCGATGCTTGAAACCGCCTCAGGAACTGGACAAAGAGTATCCCATAGGCCTTGATGAGACCAATAACCAGCATGTTGTTAACAAAGCAAGCTGAATTGAAAACATGTGAATTATATACTTTAAGAGCTCAATAAAAAAGATTTCACAATTTGTGGTACGTTGATGTGTGCTAAAATTAATTTTTGTATTATCTATTCATGTATCTGTCGTTTGCATGTAGGCTGATGACTAGATGGAAACCTCCAAAACAAGATTTGGCTTTAAATAGGAAACTTTGAGCCATGATAAAACTGTATGTTCTGCACGGCCAACTTTCTTTCGTCAACAGTCCTGGTTACTATGACATATTTTATTTTATAATCTCAGTATGGACGACATTTTTTTAATTTTTTTTTTTGTATGGACGACATGACGTAATGAGGATGCAGCTGAGACAATGTGTACTCCCCCAAGCCCATCTCTAACCTGCAACTATCATCCACCCGTATCCGCAATCCAACCTGTTTTTGGCTCCAGCTCTATTGCGTTGTGGGCTCATAGCTGCTTGAAGAGGTGTGCACTTCAATCTGCGATTGTACTTCAATTCCACAGTGAATCTAAGCGAAATAATTTAAAACAATAATGGATTAGGAACATCTACAGCTTCACATAGGACTGTGTTATTCTGTAACCTACATCGTAAATAGGTACTTTCGCATAGACAGTACTATGCTTGCAAAAGAAATGAGTGAGTGAGTTTAGTGTTATGCCACACTCAGCAATATTCCAGCTATATGGCAACGGTTGTAAATAATCGATTCTGGACCAGACAATCCAGTGATCAACAGCATGAGCATCGATTAGCGCAATTGGGAACCGATGACGTGGTCTAGAAGCCAGACCCCTAAAATGGTGAAAATGTGGTGCAGTTCTGGCGACAAAACGGGATGTGATTTTTCACAATCAGGAATGATTTAGCTTTGATTTGAAGCCGGTTGTCATGAGCTCCCACGCGTGACTACCGTGCAGGGGCCCTTTTAAGGTGCAACATGTCATGTCAGTTATGGCAATATTTTTATCGATAACTGGATGGTTTAATTTAATAACTCTGGTTTGGTTTGACCGATTTTCATAAAAATAATAGTTTTGGAATGCTCCAACGATGATTTACATTTGTGGAAAATAATATTACATATATGCTCATCGCAAAAGTATTTTGGTAAGGTTAAAGGTAAAATGTTTATAGAAAGGGCATTTGATGAGAAAATATGAGTTGAACTTTACAAATTAAAGGTAAATTTTCCAAAATTATGTTTTTCAGATTCAGCTATAACATTTGAAGATCATATATACCGTTGGTTGGCATTGTATTCATGAAAAACCATTACAAGGAAACAAAGGTTGGTACTTTGTATTTAGATCAGCAAAATATTACACAATGTCTGTTCAACAGTAACAGCTCCATGCTTTACATAGTCAACGATACTAAATATGTCAAAGATACTGTTGGACTGTCATAAAAATCACACAACATAACAGAAAGCTCTCAAATGTATAATTCAATTATTCACGATGTCTTTCTTTATTCATCAAAGAATGATGAGTCCGTCATGTCATCATAACACAAGCAACATTACCTTTATATCAATTCGTACTTATTGTTAATAATAGTCATAGTGTATTCCCAGTTGACATGTTAGCTAATGTCAACATTGTCAAGATCATGGGAACATGTTTCAAGTCTACATCCACATGCCGAAATACACAACAGGTTAAACCTCTTGCAGCTAAACCTTCCTGTACATTGACGTTTACATGCACAGATATGTTGAAGAAGGTCCACGGAAACAATTTAGTCTTAACTTATTTGCAACTTTATCACAGAGGAACAGAGGAATATTTGATGAAGATCTGTTACGACAGAAGCGTACTGCTTTAAATACAAAACTAAGTGCCTGCTTTTATGGACAACTCAAAGGAATTCCTAAACAATATTCATTTAAACATCTTGCTTCTACTGTAACTTTCATAAAAATATGCATACCTCGGTGTTAGTAATATATAATGAATTACACAAAGGAGTTACACATAGCATGGTCATGACACTATGAGCATCAATCTTCACAAATGGGATACGATGGCGTGCATCAAACAAGTAAGTGAGAACGACCACCCGATCATATTAGTTCGCTCTTACAACATGGGTTGCTGGACATTAATTTTGGCCCAACATATTTGTGAACCTGCGAGAATGGTTAATGAATAAATGCATACTCAGTCTCATGATATATGTTGTAGATAAGTCCAAATGCTATTATTGAATGTATGTCGCCAATATCTTTTCTGGTCTCTGCAAAAGTCGTATCCAGAGAGCCAATTGTCAAGTTACATTTAATTACTATCAGCTATTCAATACACGCACAGAAGTTGTTATTTAAGTTGACAGACGCTTTAGAATTATATTTTGCGCGGAAAACCTTGAATCGTCTATACATATTGAAAGTATTGAGTGACCTCGTCTAGATGGATACTAAAACACCAACTGTCGTTCATTTCCCGATTTCAGTATGTCGCATGACTACGTTGCCCTTCAAGCAGAGTGAATGAATTGACAATAGTTATCGCTTCATGGAATTGGCTCGTGAGAATCTATCTTCATCAGCTGATGAAGGTCGACAGTACAACGTCAGCTCTAAAATATTGACAGACTTCACCCAGATGGCCATTACGAAGTCGGCTGTAGTCAACTGCATTGTGCCAACAGATATTATGAAGCCACCAGCTGTGATCAGCAGAGTGTGTTTCAAATGAAGGACATCTTCTGCTTGCCCAGATCTATATATTTATCTTCCGAAAATTGATGTGGCTCTCCCGGCAATAGTTATGGTTGCGTGAACATGGAATGTGGCTCTCCAGGCTATGCTGTCAAGACATGCTTAGTGATTCAAATGCGTTACCGTATTTAACAAAACAAGACATGTTTCCTCATAATTTTATTCAGACCACAACAGATTTTATTTCTATACTTAGCACAATATAATATACTAACATTACGTATAATATTATCACATTATAATAAAAAATCTTAATCTGTAAAAACATAATAATAATGATAATGGTTTAGTTTGTTGCCATCTGTACATTTCTCATGAAAACTTTCTGCTGCATTGTGATGCGTGGACGTCCACTTCTTGGTCTATCTACGGTGACCCCAGTCTGTCTGTAGTGCTGAATAAGTCTTTCAACCGTGATATGGTGGCATCCGAGGGCGTTTGCAACAGCATTGTATGTCGACCCCATCTGCAACATCCCAATGGCTCTTTCCCTCTCTTCCGCTGTTACTCGTGGCACATTTCTCGTGCTTGTGTATCATATCATGCATTCTTGGCTCTCTTTATACCCTATAGAATCATTCTACACGTGAAATTGATGCAAATACTGCTTGAATATTGCTACGTTTTGGCGATTGATATTGCTGTGTGTGTAAATGTTACTTTGCAAGCAAAACTGTTAACAAAGATCATTTTCGGTGTTCCTAAACACTTTTGCACAATATAAAAGACACGTTTTATTTGTTTTCACTATTGCAAATAAGCAGAAAATGTTTTAAAAGACTGACTTCATAGGAATGATCGTTTTACAATTTTTACACACTCTACAACAGGTGTTACTTGTTTTAAAAATTGAAAAATGGTGACTTAAAATGGTTTACCTCTGTCTTAAGCAGAATTTTATTTCAACCTTTCTTTTGGACATCTATTTGAAATCACTGTTATTGGTTTATTTCGGCATGGTCGAAAATAGGACAATTTAATCTTCTGAAGTTCACCTAAATATGAATGCGTTTGAGAATTTGATTCGTGATTTGCATAAAGCTGGGTTGTTAAGTTGTTGTTTTTTAAAGCTAATACCCTCTAACATATATTTTTATTAACGTAATTCATAGATGGTAGGAGGGTAACGTTTCTTTTGGCGTTTAGCGTAGGAAGTCTTTTACCGGTTACGGTAATCCATTAATTATTTAATCTATTAGAAATGTGGCTTTACCGGCTACAGCTATGTAATTGAAATGTGGCTTTCCCGGCCTGACACCGGTCGCTGGGACCTTACACATGCCAGTAGTCTCATACTCCAAACTTTCGGCCCAACCCCTTCTGTAATGCAATAGTCCAAAGTGAAGCCTGTCTAGACCCCCACTGGTTCTGAATCTTCGAGCTCACCAATGGGGCTAATTAACCATATAGGGAGTTATATACTGCTATCCAAATTTCCTATTTTCAGAAATTTGTAAAATTGATAAAGTTGCAAATAAGTTAAGGCTAAATCGTTTCCGCGGACCTTCTTCAACTTCATATCTGTGCATGTAAAAATCAATGTACAGTAAGGTGTTGCTCCAAGAGGTTGAACCTGTTGTGTACATGAGCAGGTGGATGTGGACATGAAACAAACATGTCAACATTGACTAACATTGACTAACATGTCAACTGGGAATGCACTAGACTATTAGGAACAATAGACACGAATATTGTCTAGGAATTCCTTTGCGTTGTCCATAAAAGCAGGCACTTACTGTTTTGTATTTAAAGCAGTACGTTTCTGTCGTAACAGATCTTCATCAAATATTCCTCTGTTCCTCTGTGATAACGTTGCAAATTAAATTCTTTCCCTGGACCTTCAACATATCTGTGCATGTAAACGTCAATGTACAGGATGGTTTAGCTGCAAGAGGTTTAACCTGTTGTGTATTTCGGCATGTGGATGTAGACTTAAAACATGTTCCCATGATCTTGACAATGTTGACATTAGCTAACATGTCAGCTGGGAATACACTATGACTATTAAGAACAATAAATACGAATTGATATGAAGGCAATGTTTCATTAGGATGTCATATTATTATCCATCAGGTTTCAGGGTTTCACGGCATGTAAGTGCAATACTGACACTTATCAAAATATATCTCCTTCTGACATCAGCTGAATTGTTGTTTCTGCCAGAATGTCAATAAACGCAAATATGTATGACAGTTCAAAAGTATCTTTGACATATATAGTATTGTTGATACTTTGTAAAGCATGGAGCTGAAATTATCTT